CCACCAGCCTTTCCTGCCAGTGTTGAAGTGGTGATAAATTAACACCGGATCTCTCCCTCCCCATTGCAAATGTTACTATGCGCAGATCATCCTTTGCTGTCTTTAGAGATCCGTTATCAGATTGAAGAAAACAAGAAATTTTGATCCACACTTTTTTTAAGTTGCTTTGGGGATGGTGTCGCAAAAATACAGTGTAATAATTCATCTTATTTTCTTGTCTTCAGCATCAGTAATTGCTGTCACCCACTTTGCCACAGATTTTACCAAATAACTATCTTTCTTTAAGCCATGCATGTAATTTCAAGTGGAACTTATTTTTTTGGAAGAGAGAGATGAATTAAATATCTGACTCTTACTGAAAAGCTAGAAAATCTTTAATTAAAGATTAGCAGTGGCAGCAGCTATAGTTCATTGTACATAATTCCCAGATCTTATTAATGATGGATATCCTGTTTATTTCATACTTTGAGTTTTAGCTGGATCTGAGAATCCATGTTTGGTAGAGCTGTCCATTGCAGAAACATTGTTATATACCAATATATATTTTTTGAAATTACAGTGCTCAAAGAGAACTTTCTACTTTTCTCTCTAAGCACTTAAAAAGCATGTGCTGGAATTATCTTCATTTTTTGGTGCAGCACCTGAGCTAAGATTGTCCCTGCTGCACTAGACTACTCACTAAAGCCTCTGGTTAAATCCTGGCTCCAGGCAAGAGAAGCAGCCAGTAATGAAACATGAACTCCGCAACAGCAATCTCTCTCTTTTTTATTTTTTTTTTTATTTGAACTTCCTGTGTCCAAAAACTGCTTCTGCTCCACTCGCCCCAAAGATGTGGCAAGACTGCAGCTGGAGGCTGTGAGGCAACAACTGTGACAGTTGTGCTATATGTATTGGTATACAGTACAAGGCAGAAATTAATGCAGAACACCTCTGGTATATATTGTCTACAGGCTAAAGCACATGTACACTATAATTTAGATGTGATATTTTGCTTCCTAAAACTGTGAAGAACCTTAACGGATTACAGTACTCTGCAAAACTGCTTTTGTAATTATGCTTGTTTACAGCTTTGAAGCCTTTTGGTTAAACACTTCTTGACAAACTTTTCCAAGATTTCTGCTGGGATCACTTCATATTTGAAGTAGGTTTTGCACCTTAGAGTATGACATTTGTTAATTTCTTTGGTGCTAAGGAAAGCAAGCTAGTGTTTGTTTCCTTTGTTTTGCATGAATAAGCTTACAGTAGGACAGGCAGCAAAATCAAGGAAAGTAAACATATTGCTCAAGTCAAAGAAAGAATACCCCAGTGATCATTTAATTACTATTCGCTCATTTTCTATTGAAATGCTCTGGAGGCAGTGAAATGCTGTAGTGACGGGACTACCTAGGCACCCTGACAGACTTCAAAAGGAGATGTGAAGTAAACTGTCCCTGGGACTTTACTTCCCCATCCTCCTCTCTCCAGGTGCTCTGTAAGATAATTTGTAGTGCTGCATTTTATTAGGTTCTTCAGCACCAAGCCATGCAGCAGGGACCCTGAAGAGCATGAGCTTGCTGGCTCTTGGCTAGGTACACAGGAGTTGTAAGCTGCTTTTCTCCTCTGTTGGCTGTTTGTGCCAGAGCAAATCCCTGAGTGGCTGTGAGCTGCAGACTTTGCTTTATCCTGGCATGCCCTGCAGATTTTAGGCGTCAGAGGATGAAGGAAGGGTGAGAGGAACTGGGACGTTATCTGCCTTCCTGTGGGCAGCAGGAGAGCCAGCTGCACACGGAGACGGACGTCTCTGCTAAAGGCATGTGTGACCCAGAAGGAACGTCCTATTTGAGCTAGGCTGAAGATGATCATTAGGTCTGTAAAAGAAGAAAAAAAGCATTTTTATTTCTAGAGTTCACCAGGAGGTGTCTGCAGCAGCCTTCTGTAGTGAGGGACCGGGTGCTCCCGTTTGGCACTGCCACTGCAGTGGTCCCTGTGACAACGCTGGTGGCTGTCCGGCGGCCTCCTTATTGCGGCACAGTGGTAGCAGCCCATAAGTCCCAGCAGCATATAGCTGCGGTAGTTGCAGGCAGGAAGACCTGAGCACCAAGAGCTGCTCTTCTGCCTCCTAGGCCATGTCCCAGTGCAGGTGATGCCCTGTCAGTGTTGGTGCTGCTGCCCCTGGCTTTAGCTGCACCCGTGAGTTGCAGAGCTTGATTCCCCCCCACCTAAGGACTGTGGTGGCGGGAAGGGCGGGTTAGCAACAGCCAGACTGCTGTGCTTTTACACTGGAGGGAGAACTTGTAGTCTCTAGTGCCGTCATCACACTAAATTTAATTTTTGAAAAGAAATAAAATAATCACGACCATGCAATTTTTCTAGCTAGTAATTCACAAGCTTCACTGAGAAAGTCCTCATGAGAGGTTACAAAAGCTGAACTGCTTCTATTTTCTGGCTGCAATTATCAGTAATTTTATATCCATACTGAGATTTGTAGGTGCAGAGGAGGAGCTTTTGTGCAAACTTCCATTGTCTGTATCCCACACATATGTTTATCAGTCACTAATTTGCCAGCGCAGCAGATTTCTGAAGGGAAACACATACAGACAGAAAGAGGGGTGGAGCTGGGACCAGGAAAACAACGAGGGAAAAAAGATGGGCTCATTACAGTTGGGGGAAGGAAATTAATGCACATTGTAAGGATTTGCATGCTCCAAACCTTGCCCAAAAATTAGGGATCAAACAACTGTGTGAAATTTTGCTCACTGATTTATTTATTTATCAAAATTATTTATGTATCAAAATAATGGCAGAAAAGCAATTTCCTCTTCTCAGCCATGATCTGTTACAGAAACTGTACATAGCCCTAGAAATACTCCTGTTTTTCACTTCCTTTTTTAAATAGATTGGTAAGATTATAGCTGTTACCTTAAATTTCCGCTTGGCAGTTCCATATTATGCATCATCTGAAGAGAGTGTTAGGTTATACAGCTGATCAGTAGGGTTAATAGATTATTTCTAGGTGTGAGATAAGGGTAGAAAAGTATGCTCAATGAAGAAAAAGAGCAGAACTTGGGTGAAAACTGGAACATTTTAACGGTCTCAGTTCTGCCATGCAAAAGACGCAGGTTTTTTTAGATGATTCTCCATCAGACTGTGCTCATCTTTCAGGTCCTTATGAGAGAGATTGATCTCCTAATATTAGTTGTCTGATCTCAGTTGCCTCTCAGTTGGAGAGGAGAATATTAGCCCCTCCAAGGGACAGTTCTTATCCCAAGGTAGGTGGCAGGAGTTGCCTGTTGAGGGCATCTCTCTATATCCAACATACTCTACCGACTACAGAAGGAGCCTCAGCAACCCGCCTGGACCAGATGATACTTTGGTGTCTAACACCAAGTGCTCCCTTGGTGACCACACTCTGTTGCATTCAATTATTGGTATCAAGTTGGGCACACAGCAGTGTGCAGCAGAGATTCTCTTTAACGTTTTTCCTCTGTTGGAGGAAGCTTGGGTTTAGCCAGTGCATGGTAGTATTGCACCAAAGAACGCAAACCTCTTTGTCTTCTAATTAGGCAGATTACTACTCTGGTAGACACAGTAACATCTGGAAAACCTGGGACTAAATGGGACAGAGCACAGGGCAGGAGAGGAGAAATATTTGTGCTGTTACGTTCTGATGTAAAACTACAGGCTGCTTAGGTTAACAGACAGAGCCAGGCAAGCTTGCAAGCTAGGACATAAATAAGTATCCGTGTACAAGTGAAAGTGTTCTTAATTATTGAATGAATAGAGTTTCATTCCCAGGTGTAAAACAGACATGATATTTCAGTAGAATATCACTGGGTTCCTGTCATTGGCTGAAAGCTGGGATATGACAACTCCTTTACAGAGATTCTGCTGCTTTCCGGATGCACTTGCCATTGCAGCGATCGGTACATCTGAACTGTGTGGTTTATCGTAGGGGCTCTGCAGATATGACAGTAACTAGTTCTGATTCTGAAGACAAGAAGACTCCCAAATGCAATGTAGAAAAAAAAAAAGTTGATTGTAATTTATTTGTATATGTTTATTGTACTTGTAATTTAGCAAAGCCATTACTTTCCTGTAGACAACTGAAACTGCAGAAGCAGAATTATTTTGAAGTAACTACCTAAAAGTACTTAGGGAGAATTTCTTCCAGGGTTGTGATTCCCCCACACCTTGGTGAAAGAAAGTGAGTGTGAACTGCACATTGTTGGAGTAGCTGAAAGTTTAATTTGAGCAAGCTTCGCTGGTTCAGCTGTCCGTTAGGCTTGCAGAGGAGAGCACTCCGCTTGGCTTCCTATCTGACAAACGCCTCATTTGTATGTTAATGTGAGTTGTGATTTCCAGGGAAGCCATTCAGTGTGTTGTAAAGGGCCTTACTGGCAGATTGCAGCTAAATTGATGCTCGACTCACTAAATATTTACCCTACACATCCCACTTAATATGTCCAAAACCAGGCACACTGTGAAATCCCGAAACCTGATTCTGTGCTTGTGAAAGTCAGGAAGCTGGTAGTGTCAGCGCGGAGCAAAGCGAAGCGCTGTGCGAGTCCACCGGCACGTGCCAGCACACCTCCAGCCCGCCCTGCAATCTCCCCGCTCTGTCCGTGCCGTCACCCTGTACACCGGGGCTTGCCTGGCTGCCCTTGCCTCAACACCAGGGCATTGCCACAGCTGGACCCCGCTTTACCTACCTGCAGTTCTCCAAAAACCCTACCTGCAGTTCTCGCAGCCCTGCTGCCCCTTCCTCTTCAGGGCTGCCCACAGCCTGTAGAGGGTGCGTCCGATGGCACAGCCGTGCAGATGACTGCTGTGTCTTCACCTGCTCCTTGCTAAATAGTTTACTATTGGGGAAAAATGTTTTCGGTTAGGACAGCCAAGGTAATGCTTTTGTGCCCCTCGCCCTGCCCCTGTCTCAGACATTCGTAACATGCTAAAGCTGGCACAGTGGTGAGGGGTGGTAGGTGGGAGACCTCACAGCTCACCTGTTTGTTTTTCTTCCCAAGCCTGTTCTCCCAATGAGTTCCAGTGCAGTAACAAGTCATGTATCTCCATCATCTTCGTGTGTGACGGTGACAATGACTGCGGGGATGGCAGCGATGAAAGAAAATGCTCCCCTCTGACCTGCAACCCCAATGAGTTCCAGTGCAACAACAGCGTGTGCATCCCAGAGCTGTGGGTCTGTGATAACCAGCCGGACTGTGAGGATCAGTCGGACGAGTCCATAGAGAAGTGTGGCTACGATGCGAAGGCCCTCAACACCTGCGCGGCTCATGAGTTCCAGTGCAGCAATGGTGAATGCATCCACCTGAACTGGAAATGCGACGGGGACGAAGACTGCAAGGACAAGTCTGATGAGCAGGATTGCCGTGAGTGTCTGCAGGGGTAGGGCAGGGCTGAGGGCCCTCCTTTGTGGGGGACAGGGGCCAGAAGGCTGCTGTGGGCTGTGTTTTAAGGCAAGTCTTTGATGTCTGTGCAGCAGCTGTGTGCCTGACAAGGAGTGTTTGTTTCCCAAATGTGTGCCTAGCCCAGCAGGGTCAGGTATATTCCAGACTCCTCCTGTGATTTTTCCCTGAGGATTCAGAGGGGGCATGCAAGAGCTGTTGGATGGTACTGTGCCTCAGAAGAGATCTGTTTCACTAGAAAGACAAGGAATGGAAAACAGGAAAAATGTTCAAAGCCCTCAGGCTGCATGGTGGGGTCACAGCCTGGAGGTTAGAAACCACAATGCCAAAGGGAATATATGATCAGCAGAAAAAAAATAATTAATTTTCTGCCTCTGAAGTTAGAGTATACTGAACAAGGCAGTCATGAGCAGCACCTCTGAAGAATCCACTTTGAAATGCACTTTGAGCCTGGCTTGATAAAGGCACAGAGCTAATAAATAATGGATTTCTTTTCAGCTGGCTTTATGCATTTAACATGGTGTTGTTGATGTGCGTGGTATTTTGAATGTTTCATCCATTTTTAGCCACTAAACTGTTCAAGCTGGTCACTTACCTGAGGAGGGAGAGAGAGAGAGAGACAAGAAAATAAGAGCAAAATGTTTTGCTAAAATATTCATAATCACAAGATTGAAATAAAATAAAATATTTACATAGCTGTATACATTTAGCAGGTCTGACATTGGGCACCCTCTAGGGAGGAAGGCAGCAACCAGCTGCAGAAACCAGACATTTTTGCAAAGATACCTAAGAAAATTTACCACTTTTGCCAGCGCCATCTTTTCATACCCATGACAACATTGAGTCCAGCCTGGTGAGCTCAGAGCAGCTGTGTGGTGTGGGAGAGCCCTTCAGTGAGCTGGGGATCAGAATCTCTTCCAGGCAGAGAGAGACAGATGCAAATTCAGTGGCTTCTTTAGCAAGAGGAGGACAATGTAGTAAGTCCTGGACACCACTGTTCACACTGCAGGAGCGAGGGGGATGAGCCACAGGTAACCCTAGAGCTGTTGAGCCTTTAAAAGAGCCAAGGGCTCTTTTAAAACAGAGATGAGAGCAGAGTAGGAGATCTCAAATGCATTTTGATGGGAAGAGAGCAGCTCTGACTGCTGGGTACAAGGATATCATCGCTGTCAACCCCCTTCCGAGTATGACAGCATCCCTCAGCTACAGAGCAGTTTCACCAAGTAGCATCTCCAGACAGGCCAAGGACAGCTTCCGTGGGGCAGAGGACGCAGCTGGACGCCTCTGCAGCACAGCACTGCGCTGACAACCAGCAGAGGAAGGAGGGAATGTGGCAGAAGTGACTGGAGACAATTATACCCCTGACTAGCAGAGATTTAGCACCCGAGGTTTTTTCCCAGTAAGTCTCAGTACAGCACAGTGTTTAGCTTGTCTTCCCTGGAGAAACGAGCATGTGAGCTGCTTATGCTGCTTTCAGTCCTGTGGGCCAGGAAACAGTGGATTCAAAGCCCTGTGTTTTAGCTACAGTGGTGCTCCTCTGTACAGAGTGCCGGGTTCTGCCCTTTGCACCCGTGCAAACGAGGAATCGCCCCAGTGCCACAGAGGTACGTAAGCCTGCTGCTGTTTACACTGCAGGGAGGGGAATCTTTAAGGTAGTAACCAAGAGGGGACTTGCGGCACTGAGTGCTCGTGTAGCTGATGGGTCAACTGGGTCAGTGTCAAAACTAACGTTGCTTCCCCATCCTAAATGCAGCTGTTGCTTGGGTGCACATGTCTGTGCTAAGAAAGTGACATTTGAGCGCTCTGGAAACTCAGCGTCACTGTTTATCTGTTGTGCTGAAGAGTTTAGGGATTGACGTTTTTTTTTCCCTCTCCAGGAACTGTTTTTCTCAGATCAGTTATCACAGGCACATGGGGAGTTACAGGTGGATGACACTGCTCCATCCCCTTGGCAACAGGGATGGCACAAGTACCGCTAGGCTTCACTTGATTCAAACTGCAGATACTAGCACTATGTCTTCTCTTGCAAATGGGAGTCATATGGGGTTTGCATTGTATAAAATAGATGGATGGGAGCTAATGCTTTAAAAAAATGTCAGGAGGCCATCACCAGTCATTCATTATAATCATTTTGGGGGGATAAATGAGTAGAGCAGAAATGAAGGGTGACATTTGGTGAACAGGTTTTGGCAGCGAGACAGCAAATAAATAGGCGGGAATGAGTCATTTCAGGAAAGCTGTGTGAGAACATTGAGTGGCTGGGGTTTTTTTCCCTAGCGTATATATTCAAATATGTATATATATTTACAAAATTAACATTAGGTTGGATTTATTAGTCTCCAAATCTGGAATGGCTATATTTTAAAATGTCCTTTGCAACTCACATTAGGGCATCCAGGAGGGAGAATAAATAATGCTTACAATTGACAGCTGGAAAACAGATCCATTGAGACCTGACCTCACACTTTTGTGCCTCTGTCTCCCCATCTATAAAATGAGATTGATGCATTTTGAAAATGCTGGGGTTTTCTTGAGATGAAGTTAATTTGGGGGAAAAAATACCCAACAAACAGAAAACAGAAGAATCACAGCCTCAGACTTGGAATCTTGAATATATCTGCTGACTTTGAGCAATACAGCTTTGTGCCCAGTATTTGCAAATGGGAAGTGTGTCTGTTTGAGTGGCCCTGTTAATTTAGCAGGGCTTTCATAAATTGTTTCGTATTTGATTTGCAGAGCAGAGGAGATGGCTATAAAACTGCTGAGACTTCACTGATTTAAACCCCCAAAAATAGCATGACAATTTTCTGAACAGCTTGTGCAAATAAACAGCACAGCTCTTGCCTCTCCTTGGGGTATTGCTCTGCTTTGGGAATGGCCCTGATGGCGACCTGCTGTCAGCTCTGCCAGTGGTGCCGAGATGGGTTTGTGTCCCGGCTTCGGGATAACAAAGTTCCTAGCCCTCTCCCCTCAAATTTATGCTCTCCAGGCCAGGTGTAAACATAGCGTTCTCTCTCCTCCTACTGAAAAAGGCACCAATAGAGAAATGCTGTATATGCAATTTAATAACTTTGTGATTAGTAAGGGTTGTCACTGTATATCCTCTTTTTGGATGTCCATTAAGAGGTGCAGGGGCTATTTCTCAAAGGTCTGAACTTCCACAGCTCTGCTGGAGTGAGGGGTGAGCCAGGAAAACAAACCTGGTCTCCAAATTTCTGTCTCTTCTTCTGGAAGCAAAAACTTTGTGCAGTGATGTTGTACAGTCCCGTATCTGTGGTTTGCAGTCCTTGTAGCAACCAAGCTGGGAGCCGTGCTGTCATTTTTCTCTGTCTTGTGCCTTTGCAACATTGTCTTTGCAGTTCCTGCAAAATTCCCCTTCAATTTGTTTTAGGATTAGAAACCTTTCTATTCTTAGCATGTAGCTGTAACTGCTTTCTAGAAGAGCTTTGAAGATTACAATTGAGGACAATTAATAGGTTTTATAACGGCTGCCTTCCAAATCTGTAGCTGTTGTCATGCAGATTTACTTGATAAACTGGAGACTCATTCCTAATGCAGGAAAGACAAGACACTTTAAGGACATGTCGCACTTTTGTGGGGGGTTAGTACTTGTGGTTAGAAGTGGAGGACCATCCTTTCCTGTCTCCACATCTAGAAGTTGCTACAGAAAAGGTGAACTGTTTCATGTTGAGGGTGAAGACAAGAAATAATTGTGGCAAGGGAATTTTCAGCTAGACAGTAGGAAAAGCCAATGGCCACAGTTTAGCTTGGTCAGGGTTTCGTAAGGGGAAGATGGTCTCTCTGTTGTCAGGGCTTTCTCCGGGCAGGTGGTTGTACATGGCAGGAACAGTTCAAGCAGAAGTGCCTCTGCCTCCCTGCAGGAGCTCTCAGTGTCACTTCCAGATCTGTGGTCTGTGATTGTCCCAGACCACAGCTTCGTTTCTTCCTCTCCTTCGTTTTTCACTGTTTAGAGCAGCAGTTCCCACGTGCTTGGTTTGGAGCTGCTGTCCCAGATGTTCCACTAAGGTTCCCCGTTTCTGTGCCTGGGTTTATTAGCTGGAATGTGGCAACACAGCTGGTCCTATAACTATGCTTATTGCTTGGGATTTTTTTCTTGCTTTGCAGCTTTTTATGAATATAGTGCATATGGCTTTCCTCTCAAAGGAGCAGTGCTATTTCCAAACTTCTCTCATGTGAATACTGTATATTTCTAAAGGCAGGATTTCTCCCTTGCCTCACCAGCCCTGCAGCTGCTGCTTTTCCCGTTTCATGTGCCCTTCACTAGCTGAAGATGCACTAGAGCTAAGTCCAGTGAAGCAGTCGTGAATCTGCATCCTGCATCCTGTGGGATGCAATCACAAATAATACTGAGCCTTTGTGCAACTAATACTTTATGGTATCAATGGTAGCTCTCTTCATATCTATGGCTCTTCATGGGTTGTCTGAAAGTAGTAATTTTTGTATTAGAACCAATTGTCGAATTGTCAAGGAAGGTCTGCCATATAGCTCTTGCCTCCCATGTAGTAACATCATTGCTGACCTCCTCTAGCTGTGCAGAGGTAGTGATTTTCTGTACCAGGACGCAATCAGCAAGATGGAAAGGCTAGAATCAAGAGTTCTCCAGCGTGCACTGACTTAATAGGATTTTCAGAAAACATCTGTAAGATGGGCCTCTCAGAAGTAAGCTGCATAACATGTCCCAGGAATGAGGAGCCTGTTTTGCCAGTGAGCTAGAGGCTGCAGCCCTTTGCTGGCCCGCAAGTGCCTGTACCCTTTGTCAGCACAAGTCTGGCCCTAGCTAGGGAGGTGTCTCACTTAGTGTAGCCTTCTGGAGGAAACATGACTGCTTTTAGTATGGTCAGTGTACTGTGATTTTTTTTTTTTCCCCAACTTTGCTGTTCTTCAGATCTGTTTTGACTCTGTAATAATCTGACCTGTGCAAATGAGCTCCAGGCATGAAACTTGCCTGACACTCCTTTGGCCTACAGCCTCAAGAAACACCAAGCTGCCATGCAGTGGAGCTCTTCTGCCTTCCAGTGGTCTGTTAGTTCATGGGCATTTAGTAACCCGAATGATCATGTCTGCATTGCTAGCTTCGTCCCTAGTGTGACCACATTGGCTTTGGCAGAGTCAATACATGTCTCTTGCCCATGCCCTTAGCCTGAACATGTTTTGAAATACATCTTAAATATTATTTTTTTCTGAAGGAAGGAGAGCTGAGGAGCAGTTGCCTTTGCCTATGCAGAGCCACTCTGCACTCCTAGTTGGGAAGCAGCCTGGCCTCTCGCATAGACTGAAGACCCCAGAGGGGCCCCACTGCTCATAGTTTTGCTGCCCACTTGCTCTCTTGTGTCTCACCCAAGAAGCTTCACTGCCTGCACTGATTCTATTTTTACTAGATCTGCTCAAACAGGCTTTGGGCCTCTTTTCTCCAAGAATGTAGACGGTGACCTGGAGTGACAGAGCGGCACAGGAGGACAGTGGCTGAGGAAGCTGCTGCCTTTGTTGCTTTGGTGGAAGCAGCCAATGCTAAGTGCCATTTGCTGACAGTGGATGCAAAGCTCCAGCAGTGTCAGAGGCACGTGGATAAAAGGTACCACACAAACGAGTCAAGTCCTGTGTGGCTAATGCTTGAATGTGTTGTCTTAAAGCTCTGGTGACCTGCCGGACGGATGAATTCCAGTGTGGCGATGGGACTTGTATCCATGGAGCAAAGCAGTGTGACAAGGTGCACGACTGTCCTGACAACAGCGACGAGGCAGGCTGCATCCAAGGTAGGTACAGACAGCCCTGCACTCCTCATGCTCTGTGGTGTAAGCCTGCGAGAGCTGTGTGGCCGCTGGAAAGGGGAGAGGCCTGTGCTGCTCCTCTGGGCCATAGCAGGCTGCTTCCTCTAGAGCGTTTTAAGCCATTCTGGCAGTGGGGTTATTTGGGAGAGATGGTTGTGCTGACCAGGCAGACTGCATGTCTTGGAAAGTTCCTTGCATGATACTCAGGCTTAATGTTCACTTGCTTAATCTCATTCCATTTCTGCTAATGACACCCTCTTGAAGCTTTATGTCAGGCTTTTTGTTGTCATGAGCCTCCTCTAACTTAGTTGCTTTCCTCTCTTGCCCGACATGACAGAGTCAGCATGTGAAAGTCCCAGCAAGTTTCAGTGTAAGAGTGGAGAGTGCATTGACGGAGGCAAAGTGTGCGATTCACATAGAGACTGCAGGGACTGGTCTGACGAGCCTCTGAAAGAATGTGGTACAGTACTTGCCTTCTACATGTTGCTCCTGTTGTAACTGCTTCCCCTCTCCTCCATCTGGTGCTCACAGCTTTGAGTGTAACCACATGTAGCTGCTAATGCTATTTCTCACTCTGCCTCTCTTTCCTTGCCTTTATTCTCTCATCACCCTTCATATGAATATAATTAGTAGCATGGTCTGATCATCTGCAAGTTTGAACTGTGCCCTTCTCAGCTCGGCTTTTATTCTTGGAGAGATGTATGAATTGAGCACGGGACTAGGAACCAGGAATTCCTCCTCTCCAGATAATAGGGTCCTCCACTAGCATGGACCAGCTTATTTAGCCTCATTGCCTAATTTATCTTTGAATTGTAGGACGATGATAACATCATAAACATTTAGCATTGGGAACACACGTTGAAGGTGAAAACACACAGAGTGGCAGCAATCACCAAGAGATCACTCCAGCCATTTCTGGGTTTTACATGTGGCTGCTGCTTCCCTTAGAAATGACGGTAGGTTGCTCTCTGCAGCGTCCTGCCATCTCTGGGCCACGAGAGCCAGGTCTGCGTCTGGGCTGTCAAGAGTCAGCAGAACGGAAAGCCCAGGCCACAGAGCTGTGCCGCTCTGCCTCGGGCGTCCCCTCTCTCATGTTTCCCGCCGGGCATTGTGGGCACCAGGCCCATTCTGGAGCATTACTCAAACAGACTTGGCTTTTTCACCAGTGCAGACATGTCTCAGAGTGGCATCCCTTTCCATGGCATCACGGAGCACCAGTAGCATGGAGCTCAGTGCCTGCCTTTTAAAGAACTCCCATTCAGGAAGAACTGTTGCTCTCTCCTCTGTACCAGACAAGAAGTGCGTGTGCATGCCTCGTGAGGATGCTTTTACCTTGTGCTTTCAGTATGCCCTTGCTTTCTTCTGCACTAAACTGCATCTCCCTGTCTTTCTGAGTGGGTGTTGCAACTTGTCTGTCTGTGGACGTCACCCAGCAAAGCTGCAGCCCAGTTTGTCTCAGGAGACTGGGCAGTGGTACGGCACATCTGGGCTTGGTGCTCAGCCTTACGGTGGTGCCATGGCTGACTTGGTGCAGTCCCAGGCTGGCAGGGAAGTGTCTTTTGAGTTAGGAAGCTGAACAGAGAATAGCCCCCAAGGGTTTCTTTAAGAGTGCAGAGTGATGTGGACTGCTGTGAATGTAACGCTCACCCACAAGTAATCCACGCAGAAGGCGGGAGGTGCAGGACATGCTCCTCGTCTTGGTGTGTCTGTCTAGCTGCGTGCTAGATGCTGCAGTGCCCTCCGAGATTGCCCCGAAAGCAAGGCAGAAGACAGAACATCACTTGTCTTCTTTTAGGCAGGCAGTGAATGTACTGCTGAAGTCTGGGGAGTGGGCAGCAGCTGCCCAGCAGAAAGCCAACAGGCTGAGGTCTCTGCCTGGCTCCTCATCAGCTCCTGTAGAGAAGTGCAGCAAGTGAACCAGCACTTGTTTTACAGTTTCTACATCCTTTCCACAAAGCACGTCTGAAACCATGGGGATCATCTGAGTGAGGCTTTGCTTGTTAGTCGAAACAGCCCTTGCAGTATTTTGCAGAGAGCAGTTGTGCGTGTTTATGCCCCAACTTGCTAGAGGCCTGTGCAAGTGTAGGCATGGGTGATATCCATTAATAAACATCCTTGAACAGTGGCAACGCACAGTGTGACTCTGTGGACACCTGCTTGGAGCCTAGTGAACTGGCTCTATTAATAATGTGTTGATATCTATATGTATGTGTCTTTGATAGGAAGGTGAAAGCACCCCAGAGCTGAGATGGGGTTGCTTCTGGCATGGTACTTTCCTAGTCTTGCTGATATAATTAGTTTGTGCTTGTTTTCGTTTTCTTCCAAGAGCAGTTGTTTAATGGCTCTGCTGTACTGCTCACCTGCAGTTGGCAAGGAATCAAGAAGTAAAAGATAAATTAAAAACTTGCCTTTAAGTTGCATTGTAGATTGAGGCAAATAAGTTTTGCTTGTTCTAGTGAGCCCAGTTGTCACAAATGAGTGGTTAGGTCATTTAAACAATCACTCAAAGGTTTTGCAAGAAAAAATTTTACTGAAAATTTAGAAAATGTGATCTTACAAAGTTCATTGGCAAGGTTCGCTCTATTACTTATTAAATGAATGGAATAGTAAATCAAAAGGGGTTTTGAATAGAAGATGAATTATACAGAGGGAAAGAAAAGTATAAGGGGATAGGGGCACCCTCCCGTTGAGTCACCAGGTTCAGACTGGACCCCCTTGCTTTCTAAACTGCTTCTCAGAGAGGAGCCTAGGTGTGGCTGAATGCAGAACCGGCCTTAGACTACAGCGGCTTATATCTAAAGGATATGTTCAGCAGCAATTCAGGATGTGTTCACAGTTTAAAGAAAGAGAGAATCACAGGAATTTAGCAACTAATAATCACTGGTTAACTTAACATTTACAGAAGTGATTAAAAAGAGTTTGCTATTATGATCACAGTTATAGAATATTATGTTTTGAATTGATTCACACACAAAAATTCCCCTGGAGTTTGGTGAAACACTCACTTCAAATCAAATGATTTCTCAACGGGCAAAGGTTGAGTCTGAAGGAGATCAGCCCAGGTATTCACGAGTTACTCTGAGAAGCGTCCCACCCAGAGGGAGTTACTGGGCGCAGCCCGCTGCAGACCAGGAGAGCTCAAAGGGCCTTCCTTCCCTGGTACCGTTGTTTATAGGGTCTCAAGATGATTGACTTTAGGCATCAGCAATTTTCCATCCCGGTCATAATCCACATGATGCAATCCTGATATTTAGACAGCAACTGTACAACTCCAGTACTACCCAGAATGTACAGTTCTGACATTTACCAGGCGGGTGCGACTCCAGGCATCAGGAGTTCCAGGTGCAGTCAGGGAGCACCCGATCAGCCCAACTCACTGCTCTTGTACAAAGGCAAGGAAAGTGCCAAGCTGTCCCGATGCACTGCACACCAGCTAACTATTCCTGCAGTGCAAGCAGGAATACAATGTTGGCTGGTTCTGGGAGTGACAGGTGTGAGGAGGTGCTGCACCACCACACCGGTATCCCTGAAATCCTACAGCTTCTGTTCAGTCTTACTCAGGAAAAGGACTTTCTCTTCACCTTGTGTAGGTTATAAGAAACGTTATTTTTGACAGGAAACCAGCTTTCCTCAACCTCTCATTCAGTTCTAGTTACAAGGATCCATTTAGTCATTTCATCATTTGAAAGCAGGATCAGAGAGGTGGCCTCGGTTTAGACAGGGCCTCAAGAGAGGATGGGGGCTATTGCTTCAGAAATTGCACACGTGGGCTGATGCAGGCTGCCAGCAGAGACTGTTGTGTGGGAGGTGTTTGTGGGAGGACTGTGTCTCAGTGCTAATGGAGTATCTTTCACTGACTGTACTTTGGTGTTTTCTGGAATTTTCACATAGATCATTCCTTGGAGCTAGATGGGAAAATAGTACAGTATTTCAAAATAGCTGGCCCCTGGGACATGAGATTCCCCCAGCATGAATTATTAAAACTCAAAGAGACTGTTCAGAAAAGTCAACATGAACCAGCGCACGGGAAGAAAGAGTCTCCTGGAGAGAGCCCTTGGGTCCCTTGGAAGTTCTTCACATGTGGCAGAACACGCTCAAAGCAGCAGCTCTCTGATGGGATGAGATGCAGAGATTCACATACGCTGTATCCCCGGGGCTCCCTGTTCTATTAGCCACTAGCTCTCAGTCAAAATGATCCTACAGTGTTCGTTTGGAATAATAAAGAGCAAGAAAGTGATAGGGTGGTGGCTTACTGTCTGTGAAGTCACTTGTGTGCTCTATGGGGCCAGCTCCTGGCTACCAAAAGCTGATCGATACGGGAAAATTTCTGAGGACCTATCTTAATTTTATTCAGTCTTGCAACTAAAAGCCCTCCTTTGTCATAGATAATCTGTATCTGCCTTCCAGGTATTAATGAATGCTCTATGAACAACGGTGGTTGCTCACACATATGCAAAGACTTGAAGATTGGTTATGAATGTGAATGCCCGCCCGGATACAAGCTTCTGGATAAAAAAACGTGTGGAGGTAATTTACATGCAAACAGCAGTCCCTTGTGTTTCACCATACAGAAACGTGATTATATTCACTTCAGCATTGCTCCATCACAGATGGTTTGATTTCAAGTTATTGATGGGTTTCAAACACTCCTTTCAGACATAGATGAATGTGAGAATCCAGACGCTTGTAGCCAGATCTGCATTAATTACAAGGGGGACTACAAATGCGAGTGCTACGAGGGATACGAGATGGACACCCTGTCTAAGAACTGCAAAGCTGTAGGTAAGAGAACGCCACAGGCACTTAAACTCTGCTTGCTCAACATCACAACTCCGATAAGAAAACATGCTTGCAGGGCTGAGGCTAGAGGAACAGAAACAAAAGGCAACTAGCAAAGCAGGCAAGCAAAGACATTTCATTTTGAGCAGCACAGAACTGCTGCACTGACAGCAGATGCGTCTCTAGGCAAGAACTACTGATCATGCAGATCAGAATATTTTAACAGTGTACAGAGCAAGATTACAGTCGCTAGTTGGCTGTTTGAAGCTGAAACTAGAAAAGAAAGTCTCTTGACAAGTGTTATTAAGAACAGTGCAGCAAAAACTTTTAGTGGCAGTAGTATTAAAAGGAAGAAAACATCCCAATTAAAGCATGGTGGGTTAGCCAGCTCTCCACCCTCCCAGCCTCTTACACCAGCATGAACACCAGCAGTTGGCTTGACCTTCTTGCAAAAATGGATGTTAATGTCAGAGGGATAGAAAGTTGAATTGTGCAAGACTGAGCATTAGCTATGCTGGGCATTGCTTTAATGGAAATAATGGGTCTCTTGGGGAAGGGTGAGTTATCTGCAGTACAAAATTGCTTCTCTAGTGTTATCCTGCACATCCATATGGCCTCTTTCTTCCCAGGTTCGATATGATATGCACAGTCCCCTGCTGTCCTCATGAAGCCTGTTGGTCTCAAACATGCAGTGAGTTAGGACTGACCCAGATCCTGGGACACTGATCTGCTTGTTGGTTAGAAAATTCTACTGTGCCTGCGAGTGTGTGCTGGGAGCCCTGCAGCACAATGTATTCCAGAGCTAGAACCTTGTCCTAGCTCTTCCCTTTCAGTATCATGCTCCTTGATCCCCTTTTATCCTTCCCAGTGGAAGGACACTCTTCACTAGGATCTTCTACTGGCTACTGTTGCAGACAAACCAATCTAACCCACTCACGCTCATTTTGAGCCTCCCATCCTGTCTCTCTCTAAAGCAGGGAGGTGCTCTCCTGTCTTTTGGAAAATTCAGGTCAACTTTATGCTTCTTGAGAGGCTCTGGCCTGGGCTGGCCTGAGATCACAACTACAGTAGCAGTATCATGGGATCATGGAATCGTTTAGGTTGAAAAAGACCTTTAAGATCATCAAGTCCAACTGTTAACCTAGCACTGCCAAGTCCACCACTAAACCATGTCCCGAAGCACCACATCTACACGTCTTTTAGATATCTCCGGGGATGGTGACTCAACCACGTCCCTGAGCAGCCTGTGCCAGTGCTTGACAACCCTTTGGGTGAAGAAATTTTTCCTGGTATCACCAGCACCCAGGCTGCTGGCTCTGGCCCCACAAAAGAGAGATGTGAACTGGCTGAGCCCAAGTGCTCGGATGGATGGTGTGAGTTCTGCGTGCACGTGACAGTCTAAAATTCCTCCCTGGCAACCAGTCGTGCCTTTGCTGGGTTCAGTGTGGCTCTGTCATGCCTCAAGTCTGGCTGCCTCCCATCCCTCCAGCCAGCCCAGAGGGCTGTCTCTTCCTTGGCCTAGCCATGAATCACCAAAATCTGGCCAACATATTTTGTATCTAAAATGTGTAACTAAAGGTGAGGACGTTCCCCAGAGTTTTGCTTGTGGTTTAGCAGAATGGGCAGAGCAAGACCCATTGTGCGGCTAGTGACCACAGAGGTGCTGCAGTCCTCCGTGTCCCCGTGTGGTAGCTCTGCCCCTGGAAGCTGCTTACATTTGCTTCTGGTGTGGGGTGAAGCAGAACTACCAGTGACTGATAGTTCTGTTGTTGTTTGAGAAATGAAACCTGCATCCAGCCCTTGGGTCAGTTGCTAAAATGACAAATGTCCTTGTTTTCTGTGGTAGGCAAGAGTCCGTACCTGATCTTCACCAATCGCCATGAGGTCCGTAAGATAGACTTGGTGAAAAGGGACTACTCTCGCATCATTCCCATGCTGAAGAATGTCGTGGCGCTGGACGTGGAGGTGGCAACAAACAGAATATATTGGTGTGATTTGTTCTACCGAAAAATCTACAGGTAAGGGGCAAAAGAGGATGTGTGTTTTGGTACCCTCCCAAAGCTGTGGTTCAGTCTGTGCCCCTTACGCACAATCTGCAGAGAATGCAGGGTACAGTGAACCTGAGGGCTTTTCCTCCATTATTGCATTACCCATTGTGACCCAGACTTTGTCAGCTTTTTTAGGAATTGATAAAGAAATCAGGGGCTTGTGCAGTTATCTGGTTTGATAAGGCAGGAAGGCTTTTCGTCAATAACAGATCCTGCTGCATTTGTGCAGTTGCACGTAGACTCTTGTTTACTGAATCACAATATTGCTAAGCAGTGCTGCGTGAGACCGGTGCTGCGCTGTGTGCTTGCTGTACGTGCAACCACAAAGGACTTCGCATCTGCAAGCACAAAGGAGGCAAATGGTGGGAGCAAGGAGGCAGCCACACAGATGCTAGCTGCCCACTGCAGTCTCTGGCGGACTGGATTTAAGTTCACAGCACTTGACCACAGTACCCGTTCTGTAATTCTCATTCTCCCTCCTCCTTCATCTGTTTTTATGGCATCCATCACAGCATTATGTACCGGGGATTGTGAGGGTGCTGAGTCAAAAATGTATTTAATTTATGTGCTGAAAATCCCCTGTGTGTATGCTGATTTGCATAGCTATTGCCCCCTATTGCAGCTTCCACAGTGATTTGTTCTGGATTTTAGCTAATGATCAGGCAAAGGTTGATTGGTTTCAGTGCGTGGGAGCCAAGGCAGTGTTTCTGCAGGCTGTGGTAGCTCCCATGCCATCGGCAGGGGAATTTGCCCACGCTGTGCTGCGTATTAAGCACTCGAGTAGCTAGGCAGGTACCCCGAGCGACCCTGTGGGGCTCTGAAGATGGGGAGATGGTTCAGAAGAAAGCTGGCTGCTTTCGCTCTTGATTCTGTAGGCACAGGCAGGGGTAGGCAAGGGCTTCGTATTCATATGCAGAGAATTACTCAAGATACCCTGCTGCTTCTGCAGCTCTGACAGTGAATGCCCTGCGGCGCTGGGGGCCCCTGAGCAGTGTTCATACCCTGAACATGGCTGTACCAAGACTTTTTCCAAACAGCAGAATTTTTCTCTTTCTTGCTCCTGCTTGCATTAGCTTTGTTGGAAGTCCCACCTTTTCTGCAGAGTAAGCTGTGCAATCATAACGTAACAACTAAGGTTCCTGATTAAGATACTGCTACTCTCCCTAATGTCAAACGCTTCTAAACCAAAGGCCACCATGTCCCTCCAGCAGAGAACAGGACTCTGCCTGCAGCAGTCCTCTAGGGAAAAGCAGTCTATAGTTGAGAAGCTATCACAAGGTGAAACTATGGTACTGGACGTAATTACTGACAAGAGATCCCATCTTTCTTAATGCTCACCGCACTTGCCTTTCTAGACCCTCTCCTGTCGAGGTGATGTCCCCGTTGGGGTGTCGGAAGATATTTTACAGTATTTAGTTACTGGGAGAATTGAAATGTCACCTGCATTCCAGCCCTCCCATTCTGAAAGCCGCGGGAGCCTCTCTCAGCTTCCCCACCAGTGCAGTGAGTCACGCTGAGGGTACAGCGCAGCAGCTCACCGCAGCGGTGGACGGGAAGCGTTGAACATGGCTGTTTCACTGGGGAGCGATTAACTGACCTGGAGTTGTCTAGTTAGAACCTGTGGTGCCCATCAGAATAAAACAGGAGTCTTGGGACCATTGTCAGACGTCCTGCAGAACCCCAATGGTACCGTTCAGTGGGCACTGGGTCAGAGAGAAACCAAAACCATTCCTTGTAGTGAAGGTCAGTAGCTTGCTGTTAATCCAGCCTGACTCTGCATAGCCGTTCCTGCCTGGGCCACAGACCAGAAACAGTGTCAAGAGTTCCTGGGTTTAGACATTTGCTTCCAAGTCTCTGATCTGGTACTTGAGAGCTCAGCTCCTGTATGACTTACTGTCCCGTTCCATGGCCAAGGGCAGGATGGGCAGTGAGCAGATGTAAACCATCTAAAAGGTTTCAAGGATGGGGGGGGGAACTTTCTGCTCTTTTGTAAGTTTTCTAAGATGTACCAAGTTATTCTAAGAGCCAGACTAAGCTCTTAGAAACACTGATGCAGACTCAGAATAATTCTATTTTAGTTCACTCCATCCAATCGATACTGGTGCACGTGCAACAGAGCAGAATCAACCTGTGTGCTTGTATGAGCAGCACGGAGTTATTTGTGAAACAGCCATGTGGGGTTTGCTGCCTTTCATTAGTGTTTTGAAAAATTCTGAGGCTACCACTGCTATTTAGTGAACATTTTATTTGTATCTAATGAGATTGCTGCCAAATTCGCACAGCTCCATGAATTCCTTTGATGAATCATAATTAGTTACCCAGGTTCTAATCCTGCAATGCATTTAAGCACGTTTGTTTGCATGCTAAGTTCAACTCTGTTCAGCAAAGCACTGGAGATTACATTTCTGATGTCCATAAATCCCATGAATCAATGCTATTGGAGTTAACATGCCTGAAGTTAAATGTTTTGCTGGCTTGGGCAGTTATAGCAGGAAGCAGGTAGAAAAATAAAAAGATGTTTCCCTATTCTGGAAGTGCCTGCTGACCAGATATAGGGAAATAAAAACACGTTGTAGGAGAAAGTGGAAGGATGCAGCATGCAGCTGTAAAGGTTTTTATGTCAATCATGCTGCCACATGTGCGCTGTCTTGCCGTGGGAGTGGAGTGGTGCTACCTGGCATTCAGCTGCCTGAGGTCCAACCCCCTGCACATCTGCACGGCGCTCTGTGCCGTGTGTCAGCGCAGTGACGAGTCCTGTCTTTGCAGTGCCTACATAGACAAAGCGAGTGACACAGCTGAGCAGGTGATTTTGATAGACAGCCAGCTGAACTCTCCCGAAGGACTGGCAATAGACTGGGTTCATAAGAATATCTACTGGACAGATTCCGGAAACAAGACCATCTCAGTGGCCACTGCAGATGGGAGCAGGAGGAGGACACTTTTCAACACTGACCTGAGTGAGCCAAGAGCCATTGCTGTTGATCCCACACGGAGGTAGGTAAAGACCACGGACACTCCCTTCACTAACAGGGACATTCTAGTCTTCTTTCTGCCTCTCTTACAAACTTGTGGGTGGTGCTCATCTCATCAAGACTTACAGGTGTCCTGCAAGGTAGATAGATCCATTGAACTTAAATAGGACTGCTGAGATGGTTCAGCTACATCTTTGGAAGGCCACTGCTGTTAACACAAGTTCTGAAAATAATGGTCAGGTCGTGTTCGACGGGCCTGAGCTGGTCCAGGCACACGGGTTGTGCTGGGAAATGAAGTCGTCTGTCTGACGTGTAGGGGCTGCTTGGACAAAGGAAGCCCACGTACCACATAGCAGACACACCAGGAGATAGTTCTCATGGGGTTATTGAGGTGGGGTTTTGCATTCTGGTGCAAGTTTTGTGGCAGAGTATCCTCTGGGACAGTGTGGCTTGCTAGGTGCGTACCAGAATTAACTGAAGTGGCTGAGGGGCTTTGCTATGTTAAGGAGAGAACACTGCACCTCCTACTCCGATCAGTAGGGCAGAGTTCTGACCCTTGGGTCCAATTTACTGTTTTCTTGCATCTGTCTCTTTCAGGTTCATGTACTGGTCTGACTGGGGAGACAAAGCGAAGATCGAGAAAGCTGGCCTGAATGGCGTGGGGCGGCAAGTGCTGGTGACTGACAACATCGAGTGGCCAAATGGCATCACACTTGGTAAGTGCCCAGGTTAGAGCTACAGCATCCACTGCGGCTGACGTAAATTTATTCTTACTGTTAAATAGGAAAACAACATTGTAAATGTGCAAACACAAACTGCACACAAAAATCCTGGAAATACTCTGTCACTTAACAACGGGGGCAATTTTGTAGCGAGCGTTGGCAGTAAGTCTTGCCACAGCAGGAGCTTTGCGTTGCTTTTAGGTGTGCCTTAAGGCAGAGGGAAATTTGGGGGAAGGATGTAGAGCTGCAACAATCCTTTGGTAGTCCAAGAAGCATCAGAGAGTCATGGGTGCCAGTGTCTCTGGACCTGTCTCAGACGCAGTGTCCAGATACTTTGTGGGACTGATCAATGCACGGTACGTCAAGCAAAGAGATGCAGCCTGCGGAGCCCGTTCCCCGTCGACGTGCCTGCCCAGCTGCCCCGCGTACCCATCTTGGCCCGTACCCTGCATCCTGCTGGCACACAGAGGGCTGTGGTCGTTCTTGCTGCTGCACCAGGTTGCTGGAGTGGGAAGGAGGTTTGCTGACCTCATGGGGCAGCCTCCTCCAGAGCTACAGCCGTGCGTGTTTAACGCCATGCAGATGTGAGGTCCTCTGCTTGGTTTTATATTTGAAAAGTCTCGCCATGACAAGGATGTAGGACAAAATGCTGCTACCACTGCATAGTGTTTGAAGTGCTACTGCTGTGAACAAATAATGGTATCCTTAGTAATTAAGAAATTAATTAATGACTTGTTTAATTACAGAACTTGTTTTATGTTGGCACTCATCCACTTGCATTCCAATTAGTGAATCTCATCCAAAATGAGTGAATTTGCTCCAGGAAGAGAAATTCAGTGCTTAACATTCTAAACAACACTGGATCCTTCCCTCCCGCTCTTACCTGCGCCCTCCCCCAAACCTGGCTGGTTGTGGCAGGGGGGGCCAGCGCTCCCCAGCCTGCAGCACAAGAAGGGTTTGTGGACCCAGCATTCATCACCGCTGAAGCAGTGTAAATGGCCCACCGCCTGCAGGGGGGTGTTTCACTGAATCACGGTTGTTCTCCAGCAAGGGGCCGAGGACTGAATAGCCTTGAGAGGGATGAAGCTTCTTGCTGGGGCACTGATGGAGTGACTCTGGGAAGCCCAAACTGCAGCTGCCCGGCTCCTCCTGGTAACAAAAGAACCTCATTGTACAAAGCTGTCAGTCAGGCATTCCCCCCCACACACACCCCAGAATGTTCCTCCTTTTTAATCTCATTTATAGGGTCTTATCCCAGTATATCTGGGCACTGATTCAACATCAGAACTAGTGTTAAAAAAAAAAAAGACCCAATAATAAAGAGATTAGTCATGCTGCCAGCAGGAGAAACATTCTGGGCAAGAGAAAAAGAGTTGCAGGAGCTGTGTGTAATTTTGCTTCATTGTGTTTCACTTCTCAGATTTGCTGAATCAGCGTCTCTACTGGGTAGACTCCAAATTGCATTCGCTGTCCTGCATTGATTTCAATGGCAGCAACAGAAAAGTTCTGATCTCTTCTGTTGACGACCTGAGCCATCCTTTCGGCTTAGCAGTGTTTGAGGTAAGAGTCAGAAACGGATGCAGAACAGACTGGAGACTGCAAGAGGTCTCAAAGCTCTTCTTGATTAAAAGCTCTGCCTTCTGCATAGCACAGAAAGCTCAGCGAGGGCGTTCGCTGCTATAGAAACCGATTAACCTGGTGTGGGTTCAGTGGGGAAAATTGTTTTCTGTAGCCCTTAATCAGAATCGATGCGTTGTCTCATGCTTCTACCTCATGTAGCACCAGTGCATCCGTGAGGGGCAGGTGGTGCCCAGCACAACACCTCCCACAGAGCTGGAAAATGTGGGATGGGATTTCCTCAATGATTTGAATTGAGCCAACTGTCCGTGTAAAGTCCAAAACTGTTAGCAGGGGAATGGAGGAGCCACTTACTGTGCTCAGCAGGTGGGACAGCCATTCACTGAGTGACACTGCAACGTCTGTCATCTTTTAGAAGTCGGACATAGAGGGGAGCTGCCTGGGCTCAGAGGAACCTCTCAGCCTGCAGCAGAGCGCTCTGCTGGTCTCAGCAGCTTTGTTTCACACCCTCTTTGCATACCTGCTCTGCATTTTCTGGTGCCAGCAGAATCCACAGGGGAGGACGGACCCTTAAACTTTGCTGCCTTGGCTGGCTATTTCTGTTGTCCACCCCAGCATCTGCAGAAGCCCCGTTAGAAAGGTTTTCACCTGTCTGAGGATTCTCAAGGCTTCAGCTGGGAGAATCTGTGCCAGCAGAGCGCTGGCAGGGCTCCCCCTGCAGTCACTGTGCCCCGGTGCATTGCTGAGGCTGGGCACTTGGCATTGAAAAGGTGCTTGTTCACCTCGTTCTGAAAGGGTCAGGTAATTCTCTTTCAGGCTGAACTGCTCCAGCTAGGACACATAAACCCTGCCACGCATCAGAGAAACTTCCTTGTCCAAAAACAAGGTGGCTGTGATCCTACAAAGACAATAAGACTGTTTTCACAAAGGCGTTAGGCTTCCAGCTCCCTCTTGAGCATGTTCCATTGAAAACCCCAGCAGTCTTGTAGATTCAGTGCTCTCATGTAATTCGGTGTCACACTGCAGCCTTATTAAGAGCAGGGCAGTAATTAAATAATACAGTTCAGATCCTCAGATGTCATCAAGGAAGGACTAAGTCCTGCTGAGATCTGCAGAAATTAGTCCATAAATGGGTATCCACATTTCTGCCATTAGTTTATACACAGCTACCCCGTGGTAGGGCCCAGGGCTAACGGCTTCCTTGCAGATTGTGTCTCATGCTAAGCACGCGTTCAAACCTCTGCATTCCCCATCCTGTCTCAGGAGTACTCCAGGGGTATGGAAGACATAATTCAAATCCCTGTGGTGCCTGGGTGGAAGCAGAGAGACAATCCAGCCCTTCCTCCCCTGGTAGAGGACGGCCAAGTATGACTGGCCTGGGACAATGAAGTCTTCTCTCTTGTAGCTGAGCTCCTTTCTGTCATTATTTTAGTGATTATGGGAACAAAAGCTTCAACTTTGGCACCTCACTCTAGGTAAGCTACAGCACAGAAAGGTGTCAGGTTGGCTCCCTGTCAAGGCATGTGTCACAGCCTCCTTTCTTTTCTCTTCATTTCGCTTAACTGGGTTGGCTTTTGACTCGGCAAACCCCTCCACCTTAAAACCCTTCTTCCTCCTGCGCAATGTTCGTGATACCTAGGCAGCTAACTTTGGGCAGGGGTTTCCCCAAGGCATCACTGCTCTTCAGTTTTATCCTGATCAGCAATGTTTGGAAGGATCTCCTGGGTTATTTAACCTCTCTACACCCTCCTAATCTGAGTGGCTGCTTAGAATAACAGCCAACCTGTTTGCTTTTGATAATTTGCCCTTGTTCTCCAGCAGCGTGGCTTTCCTTACTGAAATATATGTTGTCGTTAGCAGGCAGCAGCATACGTAGCTGAGCAAGCAGCTAAATACTGTTTGCAATGCCTGAGTAGGTCCCCGACCAGTTATTTTGTACCTTCCATCATAGTGTGCCATGCAAAAGAGACTAATCATAGAAGAGAAACGGATACTCATCTTCCAGGTGTGCCGTAGGCACTGGCCTCTTCGTAGATACCTGCTTAATGCAGGTCTTATCTTTGGAAAGGAGAAAAAAATCAGCAGAGGTAACAGAAGTTTCTGGAATGGCCCTCTGGTTCTGCTCATGACCCACCTTGTCTTTAAAAAAAAGCTGGTTCAGAAATAGAATGGATGCAACTCTCCTGTACTTCACCAAATTGCTGCTCCCTTGTCTCAGTCTTGTAGCTACTCATAATTACTAAGCACTTCATAAACATGCAGGATTGCTGTACTTTTAAACATTAGAAATGACAATGTCCAAAAAAAAGAAAAAAACTGCAGGTAGAAGTCACATGAACTGAAGGTGCCCCTACGTAGGAACACAGTGTGATGACTTGGTGACTACTGGAGTTTAATCCAGCTGGATTTGAGCAGGGTCAGGCCAGAAATCCTGTGCATTTCCTGCAGGACAGAGTGTTCTGGACCGACCTGGAGAATGAAGCAATCTTCAGCGCAAACAGGCTGAATGGCTTGGACATCTCCGTTTTGGCAGAAAATCTCAACAATCCTCATGACATCGTGGTATTTCACGAATTAAAGCAGCCCAAAGGTAAGACGCATCCTTGGAGTATATGCATGGCCCTAAATCAGGTTTATGTAGTTTGTAAATGAAATGCTTTCTGATGGTTCTTGATGAGAGGGAAGGCACAGGTAATAATGGGAAATCAATGCCTTAGGTTTGAAGTTCCTCGTAATTAATTCAGCAGCAGCATTTATTGAAAAGTCTGGTGTTTAATTAGCATCTTTGGTAACAGTGAGTTACTCTCATCACTGTGATGCTTGCCGTTCATTATATATTTGGGCAGGTTTTATAGTAGTCTGTAAGGTTTCACTCCAAACTGTAAAGATGATTAAGTAGCCCAATTAATTGAGGTAGGGAGTGGAAGAGAGCCTTCTTAGAGGACCTGGTATTTCTTTGCCAAGAACAAGAAATAAATAATGAGAAAAATACCTCGTCTTTTCTTCCATCCCTGAACAGCTCCGGATTCCTGTGAGCTCAGCCCCCAGCCAAACGGAGGCTGCGAGTATTTGTGTCTCCCTGCGCCTCAGATCTCTCCCCACTCTCCCAAGTACACGTGTGCCTGTCCTGACAGCATGTCGCTGGGTCCTGACATGAAAAAATGCTACAAAGGTAAATACAGCCACGCCGCTGTTGCGCTATTCCAACAAAGTCATGCTTGGAGTGAAAGTATTTCCTGGTGGTGGGACACAAACGTTAGCTTTTGTATTCCACAGACTTGCTGCCTTGAAAGCATAACCAGGAAAAGATACAGCACAAAGAGGAAAAAAGGGATAAGGCCCAGCACAAGAAGTGGGAATGGTCAATAAATCATTAAAATTTGGCACGTTATTGCCCTGTAGATTCTGGATCTAGAGAGGCCACAGTCACTGCTGACAATGTCCTGAAGAGATGGGTGGTTTCAGCGTAGTTTTCCCTAACATGCAGATAGTTCCTGGTGCAAATTCACTGTCTTCTGAGGTACTGAAAAAGCCCCTAAGTTTTGGAACTCTTTAACTACCTTCCATCCAGAATACCTCATTACTATTAATAAATAAAGCTTGACTTCAGGAAATCATTTCTGTAGCTTTAGGCAGAGAACTGTCGCTAGCCTGGCTACCTGATAAATAGAATTGGAATTTGCTTTCTGCTTCTACTCAGTACTAACGCAAGGATCCGGCCCAGGTTTATATCACCATTTGTGATTTGCTTTGTGTACTTACTTTTACCAAATCACACTGTTGCTCTTGCTTTTCAGATCTTCCAACTACTTCAACTACTGTACTGGTTTCTACAACCGCAACATCCCGAACTGCCGGTACCACGACCATCGTGACTGTAATTGGCAGTGCCAATAACACCACTGAAGCCGTCCCCAAAGCTGCATCAGAAGCTACGGTTACCACCCCGAGTTTTCATTTACCGTCCACCACACCCATCCTGATAGATTCTGAGATGACCACTGGAAACAGCAACTTATCACAGCACTGTAAGAGAATGCGCTTCCTCTTTTCTTTTTCTATATATACTGCATCACACAAACTCCTGCGCTGGTGGGAGACCTGACCGACCGTCTGAGCTATGAACGGGTCAGATGCAGGCACATCCTGCTGCACAGCAGGAGGAGTCAGGTGCTCTTTCTGGAGACATCTGCGTTGCGATGGCTGATGCGATTCCAGCCGCTCAGGATGTTGAGGAATTTAGGTCGTTTTTTCATCCAACACACATGAAACAGACTCTAGAGGTCAGGCCCCAAGAGTTCAAACTACTCCTTGACTTGTGCCTAATACCAGTTCATCCCAGCTTTGGTGCTGTTTGTAGCACTGCATACCGTAATATGGATGATTCCATAGGGGCTTCACCTATTTTAATTCGTTATTTAATTATTAATGGTCTCCAGCACAAGTTGTGGGTGAAAAATGCCTCTGGTCCACCTTCAGCCCTGCTGGGTGTTTGGCATTACTGCAGCCCAAGACAGGCTGCACTGTTGTTCCTGTGCCCTGAGCCTTGACATACGTTTGAAGTTTTCCGTGACATGTGAGATACGTATCCCAAGGGAGAGCGCCAACAGACTCTCCAAAGCTCACCCTACACAATGAGCGTGTAATGAAACGTCAGCGTACTGTCTCAGGGCTAACAGGTGACCCCTCTAGATCGTGCTGCCAAGGCAAAGCAGAAAAGCTGAACTGCTTTTCAGGGGGGGGAAAAAAAAGTAGTCCAGAGAGAAGACTTCACTCTCTGGGACTGTCATGATGCAAGACCTCAAACAGAGCTGGATTGCTTTAAAAACAGTAAAATACTTTTTCCCCTCTAAACGTTTCACTGAGCAAGATAGGCAGTTTCCATTGCACCTGGAAAGCAAAACTAAGCCATCCCAGTTTGACTGAGGCGCCTCTTTGTAGGAACAGCAACGCAGCACACTCTGTACTGCATGTGGGAAGCAGAATCCAGTTTCTAAAATACATTCTTCTGAGTTCTTTTTGTGCAAATTTCTTTCAAATGCAGTAATTAACTTTTCAAGAAGCCACAGAAGCAAGGTGCTTTAATTGCCCACATTTGAAGTAGTCTGGCTTATTATGAAGTAAATAACTATGTAATAGAACAGCCTGCCACAGGGAAGTATTTAAAAGGATAAATTGCCTTTTAAGATCCATGAACTGGTATATCAAAAGAGCTCCCTCTCTCAATTCCTGATGTTTTAGCAAAAATAAATTTTCTGTGCCGATCCACTATTATAAGAGTTCAGAGCAAACATTTTTAAGTATTATATATCTTGAAAGGTATATTGATTTTTTTATTATTATTATTATTTTTCCCTGTAATTGTTTCTTTCCCTTGTAATTATATCGTGTTTTGGGGTCACCCTTGCATGCTGAGGCAGACCGCAGCAGTGAGTGATGTATGTGTTGACTAACTCCTTAGCTGTAAATAACTACAAAAATAATTTAAAAAAAAAAAAAGCTATGCAGATGGCTTTGAACTACATACTTTTTCTGACAGCTCAATAAATCATTAATTGTGCGAGTACTAGAAAGTGTTCTGCTGTGGATTCTTAAGAGCGCTATTCACCATCCCCTGACCCGTGCATGGAATTGCTATTAAATGTCACGTTTTGTGAAACTAGCGTCCTTGTTTGCACTTGAAAATTAGAGGCACAAGTGCAGTCACTGACTCGTTTCTGGCCAGAGCTTCGCTCTCTGACAACGCTGCACTGAGCACATCCCTTAACTGGCCACGCTCTCCTGGTGCGTGGTTTGCCATCCTGCGAGGGCGGCAGCACCTCGGGGCCAGGCTCTTTATCGTTCCAAAGAAGACACAGTTCAGCTTCGCCCAGGTTTGTGCGTACGTGCTTTTTGTCTTCTCCATAATAACATTATTACAAAACTTCTCATAAACTCTTTGAGTACAGAAGCTTTCTCATGGGCAGAACAACATGGTTACTAACATAAAACATTCTTTAGACGTGGCTTTAAAACCAGCAAATTAATTAAATGTTTGGAACTACTTCTCTAATTACAGATGCCAATAGTGACCAAGGCTTTGATTCCACTGTGACAGCAGCTGTTATTGGAATTGTCATTCCTGTCGGTAAGCTGATTTGATTTAACCTTTGCAGGAGATCATACCAAAATGCTACTGGAAATACCCTCCTCTGACTTCCAGGGTTGGGGGTGGGAAAGAGAACAGGAACTGGTGAAATGGGGAAAAGTAGCCTGGCTTGGAGAAAATTGTGCAAGGGTGGATATCTGTGTGGGAACACCCCAGCAGATTCATGACCTCCCACAACACTGGCTAACAGCCCTTGTATTTGCCTTCCTTCAGTGGTCATTGGCTTGCTGTGCATGGGGGGATACCTCATCTGGAGAAACTGGAAACGGAAGAATACTAAAAGCATGAATTTTGATAATCCGGTGTACAGGAAGACAACAGAAGAGGAAGATGAAGACGAAATCCACATTGGGCGGACTGCCCAAATTGGACATGTCTACCCAGCAGTAAGTATCTGTGGAAACTGCGGAACCAGAAGGTTAATTTTGTTGAGAGCTGAGGTACAGAATTATCTCCAGCCGATTACAGGGTTGGTTATTTGCCATATAATAGCAAGAAACAGAACTTCTTTAACAATCATTGAATAGGCAGAAGCCTAAACTTCTAGGCAGCTCATGCAGTTCTCTTGAAATACAGTCGTCTATATAATAAGATTGTGTTCAAATGCAGAGTGATTGTCCTAAGCACTGTGCCTAAGTAAGCCAGCAAGCGCAAAGCAGGCTATCTCAAGAGCTCAGTATGTGACAGCTATTACTTACTTATCCTCCACTGGATTCCATTGTATCTGTGCTCAGGCTGCTACCGAGCGTCTAAACTACCCTCAGGATAACTTCAGTTTCTCTACAAACCAGGGAGGATATTTTTTTGTATAATACAACAGTGTAAAACAGAGTCAGATTCTTCACAGGGAGGCATGAATGATGTTCTGTAAGAGGTTACGGAAATCTGCCTTGGCAAGATCAAGCTTTACAAAAAGCAAACACTTGTTTTGATAGCAAGTCCTGCGTACGCAAAAGGGAGAGAACCTGTTGTGCATGTCACGTTGTAGAGGAGCCTCCTTCCCAGCAGCGGCCCTGGCGAGGTGAAGCGCTGGCTGTGACAGCTGCATTGTGTTGTTAGAAGAGAGCGTAAAGATCGGTAAGTAATGAGTGAAGGCAACGTAGCTTCTACAGGCAGGCACACAGGTAATGCTCTACGTTATCTGCAGATCCTGCTAAAGGTCACACCAGAGCAGGTGTCATCCCTCACAAGGAACTTCATCCATGTGATACACAAGTGAAATAAACTTTCCAGCACCTCTTTAATAACACTTGAGCGAGCGACCCCATTTAGGGGCAAAAAAATCGGCGCATAAAGTTGATCTGTCACCAGTACAGTGGGGAGGACAACGAGTTTTTTAACAAGAAACACAAATTAGCAACAGTATCTCAAGTCACAAATTTTCTGAAGTGTGGGGTTTTTCTTCCTTCACAGCGCGTAGCATTAAGCTTAGAAGACGACGGGTTGCCATGAGGATGACACTGCTGCTCCGAACAACACACTGAACAAATCTGCTTTGGATTACAGAACCTGCTGCTTCTTTTTAAGCGTTATTTATGTTGCAGAAGGGTAACCACAAAGTTATAATGAACTGCAAACATCCAAAGGATGTGAGAGTTTTGTATGTATAATCTTTTATACACATTTTAACTTGTTGCACTACCCATTTGTGATAGTGAATAAGCGACAGCTGAGCTACTAACTCAACGTACATAACCAGCCAGGCTGAAGGTTCGGTAGCTACTGCTTTATTTTAAGAATATATTTATAGATATTTTTTTGTAAATATATTTCATATGCTTTGTGGCTATCCATCAACATAAGTAAAACAAATTCTGTACAGGCAGTTTAGAAATATTTATTAACAAAACCTGAATTATAGGATCTGTTCTGTAAATATCGTAGAGGGGTGAGAGTATTTATTTTTTGTATGTTTGGCTTGCTGTGCATAGATTATCTGTGTATATATCTATCTAGACTAGATAGATATATAGGCATATAAATATATACATATATATAAAAATATATACATATATTTTAAAACTACTAGCCTACATTTATGAAAATTAGAGATAATTGAATTTTTACAGGATGTTTGAGACGTTTGCTTTGAAATCTAAAGACACTAAGTAAGAAAGAGCTGTACTGTGAGAGAGCGGACAAACGGAGCGCTCCCCTAACGAGGCTCCTGTTTTCCAAGCTGGCTCCTAAGGGTTGCTTTCCCATTTTCCAGTCTACCCAGCAGGATTCATCTGTAGTGCTTCATCTGAAGAGCTTTTGTTTACAGCATTTCAGTCAGGAGAAACTCCTACTGCACACATTTTTTTGTTTTGTATTGTTACTTTTTACAGCTTGGTACAAATTTGATTTAGGTTTTTTGTTTGTTTCTAAATGTAAATCTAAAGGCTTTTCCCCACTGGGAATCCTGCACCTCTCAAACGAGCTTAGAATTAGCAGAAACAAAGATTTTAGCCATTTACTTCCCTGTACACCCAACGGGAACACTCTCACCCGGCTCATCAGGGAAAAAAACCCAACACAGTAATAAAAGTAAATCCCTTCCCTCCTTGCCCTTTTCCCCTTCGCCCACTGACCAGGAGTCCAGATTCAGGAGGCGCTCGCCGTGGGGCAGTGTCTTAGCTCACCGTATGCAGAATTCTTTGAAGCGCAGCGGCTGCCATCCAAATTACTGCAGTGGAACCACCCGCGCCACGCTGGATCTCCCGTACCGCAGAGCACTAGGCAAGGAGGTTAAAGGAGGTTAAAAACCCGCAGCCTCACCAGTGCCTTTGGCTGGGTCATCCCTCATCCTTGCAGGAAGAACGCAGTTTTTTCTCTGCTCGTTATTCTGTAAGATTCCCCAGGAATTCTGCGGGAAGTTAATGCACTCACCTGCCACTGCTAACAGACCAGCACCTCCCTGAGCTGTACCGAAACGCAGAGAAATCTTCCCAGCGTTCTCACATCAGTCCGAGCTTCTGTATTCAAGCAAGCAGAAGAAACTCAGCCTGAAAAGGTTTGGGGTTTTTTTCCATTTGTTCTTCTTCCTTTTAGAATAAATTCACAGTGTAATGTGAGCTGGAAGTTGATTCTTGCCCAAGAAAAGAAAGTAAGTGTCTGCGGCCCTAGTCTGCATTACAAACATCTTGCGTACTCTCAGAATACTTTGTGGCCTGCATAGACTTTACATAAATAATCAAGCATCCTTCTAGTCAAATTTTAGATTTTATGGCAGTGAAAAAATGATTGAGCTACCCAATTCTTGTTTTAAGGTGTGAAGCTCCATTTCTACAAATCCATGCACTGTGTGCATGAAGGAGAAAACTGAGGACAGGCTGTATGTGCTAACACTGTAACTAACAGACAAATGTAAATATATTTGGAAGTTCTACAGTTTTGATACTTTTTTAAGAACACATACACACAAACAAACCTGTACAAACCATGTATAAAAGGCTGCAGGTTTTTTCAGACCATTGTAAATGACTCTGTGTGCAGTGCTGATTTCAACTTTACAGATTTGTAACTACTGAGAAGTCAAACACCAAATTTGTTTTTTAAGAAATTAATTATTTTAAATAATGGTTCAGATTGTTAGGATGATATTTAACATTGTAATCATTTCTGATCTCTGTCTTGTCATATTGAAGTTCGGTCGGAGTAAGTTCTTGCTTGGTGCCTTTTGTGTTTCAGTTTTTATGTTACGGACAAAAGGACCGGGGGGGGGGCGGGATCTGCTCTGTGTAACTCTTGCTGTACTCACACCGATACGGATTACTGAAAACCAAATGAACACATTTGTAAAACAGTGCACTGTTTCTATAGAAAGATTAAATTTTTTATCTGGGACTACTGAACCTAATTAGAGTGCTTAAAATGCTGTGCTAGACCTGGGACTGTATAATGTGAGTTTTCCTTGACTGTTAATTGTGGGACTGGGGAATGCCGGCGTGTAACTCAGCTGTTCTCAGTACAGCTGCACAAAAATTAACAGACCGTTTGGTTCTGAATTCTCTTTCTCTGCCGCTTTGGTTTGGATCATCGTCAGATCCCATGGGAAACAGCACCAGGTTTGTTATTTCCTTGAGCTGCACAATTAGATCAGTGATGTACCCAAAGTGCGTAAACCTGCCAGCAGCACACGTACACTAGTCCTTACATGCTGGGAGAAAATGCCTCAGAAGTGAATGGCACATCCAACAAAACGGGTGCAGCTTTTAACCCCAGCTGTTACATGTTGGACTACTCAAGGCCTAGCTGCAAACCACTGAATTTCTTTGTACAGTTTTTGGTAAAGCGTATCTACTGAGGCTGAAAAACTTGTTACAGCCAATTATGCACTCTCTTGCTATCCTGACAAAAACCCCACAGAAATAGTGCTGCTCTTGGAATCACAACAGGCAGCCCTGAGTTGTTGTGGGGTTTTTTTTTAAAAAAAAAAAAACAAACATACAAACCATCTCTTTGATGGAAATAAAGCTGAAATGAGATCCGCTGCACTAGAAGGACAGCTTCAGCTGGAGACACAAGGGAGTCAGAGCTCAATGTGCAGTTAGCTTGCTCTCTCTTCCCCGCCCCTGAAATCCTAGACAAAAAACAAGGATACTGTGAACGAGGAAGGACGTCTGGAGGCCTTTTCCAAAATGGATGGACGGTTTGGGTCCCGTGTGAACTCTGTGCGCCACTTCCCTGTGCAGAGAGACGCCCAAGCAGGCAGTCAAAGGCTTGACTTCTCTCCTGTGAGTTATGGCCGTGTGTCCCGTGGCCTGTCTTTGTGGGAAGTCTGTGTGTAACTTGACTTGGAATTCAAGTTACCAGCCAGGGGAATGAACTGTCCACAACTACAGGTATTATCCATTGACACGTACCTCTCGGACGCCAGGACAACCAAACCCTGCGTCAGATGACCCTGCTCTTTCCTACCCCAGGTAAGCTGCTGGATGTACTCAAAGAAGCATTAGAAATCAGAGCGCTGAAGACAACACCGCCTTTCGCTGTCATGTGTGGTTACAACGCCTGGGGAAGCCGTGCATGTATTGAAAGGCAATTTCAGTCAGCGTTTGTCCCTAAAGGAACGCTGCCAAGCAGCTAACGCTTTTCAGACACAGTTATTACCAAAGTAATATGGAGTCATGCACTGGTAAATACTGGTGGGTTAATTTTCTATTTAACTGAAAATAGATTTTTCATACTTTAAAATATTTTTCCATTCCAGTTAATTATTTTAGCGGGGCAAATATGGTAGCAATTAAAAAAACAGACCAAAAAAAAAAAAAAAAAATCTGTCCAGGTCTGACTAGAGAGGAAAGCACAACTGAAAAGAAGCAAAAGAGCCTCATCAGAGAGTCGCAGACCTGGCTGGGGCATCGAGATATGCCTGCTAAAACAACTTCCCTTTTCCTCCCCCTTTTTTTGACTCTGTACAGCACTAGCAATAAAATTCTGTTATTTTTTTTGTTTCACTTTTTACACATAGTAACTGTACAGTCTGAGGTAATCCACACTAACACTGTGCTGCCTACTGTCATTAAGGTGCTGTACAACTGCTCGTACGCATATAAATCCCTTCAGTGTTTATGTAACGCAGTCACCTGTCTGCCTGCTGCAGGAGTACGTATGCAGCGCTTCCTCACACCGAGCTTGTTCTCCATCCAGTCAGTCCTTCAGCTGTGTGAAACACCTTTAAAGCTGCCTTCCTAATTTACATCCGTGCCTTCAAGAAGGGAGCTATAGCTCTGGTCTGTCGCGAGCTTTTTCACTGCTTCGGTGCAGGAGCTGACGGAGTAGTGCCAATGCCAGGTGGCCGCTAAACGCACAGTGCCAGCGTCGGCAGGAGTCGTCGAAGGGAGAAAGAGAACAACAGAGAGAGTGCAATGAGCCTGGGATACGTAACCCACCTTTTGGGTTCCAGCCACAGTCCGTTCGCACAGCAACACAGAATCACAGAATCACAGACTAGTAGGGGTTGGAAGGGACCTCTGTGGGTCACCCAGTCCAACCCCCCTGCCGAAGCAGGGTCACCTACA